AGAGACCTTGCGGTAGGAATTACTGTGATGTCTCTGGTTCCGATTACATTCATTCAGTTCTGATGATTGCTTGCACTTTTGGGTCATGGACGGGCGACGAGTCAGACAGTGTGCTAACGTTCTTAACCCTGGCCGGTGTTTCAGCTTCGGCAGAAGATGACCTGAGTTCGAAGCAGAGTAATCCTTCGAGACAACTGATCCAGATTATTCGTAGCCGTTCTGATATTATTCGAGTTTATTTACCTGTTGATCGATAAGGTATTACCTGGTTCCCCTGTCATTCTCGAAACACGTTTTGAGACAGACCTCTGATTGGTGTGATTGGCGCTTGGTCCTCCAGTCTCCGCATTCAATGGTTATACTTGGACGGTGGTCAGTTCAATTCAGTCCATCATATTATATATCAATAGACAGTTATCTCTGACTGAAGTACAATGCCGTTGTGAAACAATTGAATTTCATATTACAATTCCGTTTTGATGACCGTTCGATGCCAGTACGTCGGCGCCTTGTCTACGGTACTCTCTGTATATGGTCATTTACTTGACCTCACCCCTCATGTTACATATCAATCACAAGGTCTAGGTGAGTGCAACGCGATGCCGTTGTCAAACTATGAATCCAGATGACTATCTTTTTATTTTATAGTTCCATTGTGGTGACTACGCGAGGTCGTTGATTCAGCGCGGTGCTATTTGATCACGAGTCACAGTTAATATATTTACAGGTGGTCATCTGTTTTGATTATTTAATTTAGCCCGTCACGTTATACATCGTTGGAAAGCTGCTTGTGAGCAGAATATAAAACTTTCGTCATAAGTATCAATATCAAAATTTTCATTTCGTCCAATGACTTTAACTGTGACAAGTAAGGTGATGTCATTAGATTAGCACGCGTCTGTTTTAACATTGATAGTCGCAAGTTTAAAATTACGGAGTTGTCAGAAGTCAATAGATATTTCTTTTGTGACTAATGTCATCATATCCCATATCAACAAAAATCACTCCCTGAGGTAGTAAGCTTTGCTGCAGCACTGAATATAATAACATTGTATTTTGATTTAAGCAGAAAATTTCTCTATTCTATTTCACACACTTCTAGTTTGCATGGCTCATTATATTCTGCCAAACCGCTAACAGATAATAACATCATTAATCTGTTCCAGAGAATCTTAATCTTTCAATGCCAGCTGAATAAAATAGTCGAAATCGAACAAAGATGAATCAAAAGCAAGCAGAAATTATTTATCTTCTGCATAAAAAATTTTTATTTTGCAAAATATTACGTTATTTCATTTCATAATTATGCGCTAACCCATGGAGATGACTAATAATGTCCGTATTATGACTGCCATTCACAATAAACTTTTTCCTTTCATCCTCGTCTCCATATCTTATCAACTTGTTTGATGACTTATTATCGGCAGCATGTTGTTCATACTGTATTTCCCGGCCCTTCAGCGCTTTGTAGAACTAGTAAATTGACTTTCATACCGAAGGCTGTGACATTCCAAATTCGGTTTTAATTCGTCGATGAGCTGTCTCTGTATGGCTACTCGTACGGCTTTCACTGTGAATCGCCCTACAGATAAATCGACCACGTTTCTGATCGAAACAACACCGGAGGTCTTGCATTTTCTCTACGGTTCAAGCGACCGACGCTGTTGTCTTCGAACCACCGAAGAAGTGGCAGAAATCCATCGGATGTTCGTCCGCCAGTTCGTTCATCGGTTGATCTTGGTGTGCAATGAGTCGAAATGCCAACGCTGATATCAAATTCGCCTTTAAGACGAAATCAACATCGGTCTTATGACCATTAAGTAAATGCAGTTAGCGCAAACGCTTGTTCGGGTTGTTATTCAGGAGGTATGGACAACAATGAATTGTGAACAATGACGCCAAAACGGCTGCGCCAAAACCTCTCCCATTCCGTTTGCACGACGAGTCAAGACCAACACAGCAGTGACTTCTCAGTCTTTAGAAAGCCATCTTCTAATTTTAGATATTCATGATTTTCTGAACGGTCATTGGCAAAGTTAAGTGGTGCTACGACGCCGACACTGTAGAGTTACATGCAACTATCAGCGCAGGCACGCAAAGAATTTGCCAAATTTGACCTCGGCTGACATGGCTAAGTCTCAGAATCGAATGTGAGGACGCAGCCAGCTTACTGTATGCGCATTTATAGACATTTCAGTTGTCTCCGTGGTATAAGGAAATGTTTGGTTGCTGGTCGGATCACAAGCAGTCACCGGGTTGCTTTGTCAGGTGGTTTTCGTTCCCAAGGTCGTCTGACTCTTCGGCTGTTACACTATGTACATTCGACGAAGTTTATTGATACAGTTAAACAAATTGACTCATAAAAAGAACGGTAGGTCAGCAAAGCGAGAGATCATTGTTGAATTACGCGTAGGCCCTCCAGTCACTCTTATTGATTAGCTTAGCGCGCTATCAACAAAATTTGTAACCGAAGACTTCAATGACCAGCCGGATAAGTTTTCTGATCGAATCCATTGACATTCACAGCAATGACAATCGACAGTGTGGCGATGACATATATCTATATATTTGTAGACATATATAGAGACGTGCTTGCATGACCCATGATTGACTTTTGTTGATTAATACAATTATTGGCTTGATGACTGATGTTCATGGAAAATGCCTCCATATAAGAATTTACAGTGTGAAACAGCTTTAAAAAGAGAACTTCTCCAAGCGAAGGCGGTGTGAATGCGTATTAGTAGATTAAAGACGACGGTCTTCTCAAGGCACATATATTGACTATAAAGCACAACGAATAGGAATCGTTTTCTACGACAGCACCAATAGGATAGAATGGGTTTTGCCACTCTGTAGCATGTTGAACTCAGAACCAACAGCTACTGGAGGGTTGATAAACGATAGACATTCTTTGGAAAAGAAACATCATGCCATGCGCAGCCAAGACGATGAGTGCATCGGTGTAGGAGATGTAGAGACGAGAAGGTTGTTGTTTTTAGGTGACATTGTTTTGCTACCATCTTTTAAAACCGGTGGAAAGGTTCGCAG